CGTGCAGCAGACAAAGCCATACAGACCTGCCTGAGGGAGAGGCTCAGAGCCCAGGAAGCCCTTCGACAGTTCAGGAGGTGATGGGGGCGGAGCCAGAGTGCTGGGCCACAGGGGGCGCAGGGTAGGGCCTGGGGAGCCTGTGGGTCCTGAAAGTGTCATTGTCAGTAGAAAGATAAGTCACCTACTAGGAGGAGGGGCAGCACAGTGACCTGGGTTGGGGTTTGTTTAGGCCGGGGGGGGGGGGGTTGGGGCTTCAGAAAGGGGGCTCCGATCCTGAAGGCGAGGGAGAAACTGAACATACTGCAAAGGATGACCAGTAAGTGGGTCTGGGATCATCGGCCACTGAAGGCAGCACAGGGTAGTGGGAAAGCCCAGACTTGGTAACGAGGAGACTGGGGCTCGAGAGGTGTCTGCGTGTCCTGGAGGGACGTGGCCTGGCCGATGAACGTCTGTCTGTCTGTGAACAAGAGGCATCAGCTCGACCGTCTGCGGGTCCTTCCGGCTCCGGGATGCTGCAGGGCGGAGGAAGGGCGGGCAAGATGAGGCTGGAAGGGGACGATGCCGTGTCCGTGCCAGGTTGGAAGAGGAAGTAGTTAGCGATCGGGTGCACCAGCCAGGGGAGCGTGAGAAACCCGGGGAGGAGGGGGTTTCTTCGTGCCCGGGAACGTGCGGACACGGGCACACGGTGGAGGACGAGGCACGCTTGGGGCAGCGTCTGCGAAGAAAGCGGCCGGGCCGCCATCAGGACGCGTTTTCTCTGCGCACTAACCGTCCTCCCGGTTGTCCAGGGCCTTCGCCAAGAAGCAGCAGCAGCTGAGCGCCCTGAAGGTCCTGCAGCGGAACTGCGCCGCCTACCTGAAGCTCCGTCACTGGCAGTGGTGGCGCGTCTTCACCAAGGTGGGCTTCTTCGCGGTGTGGGGGGAGGGGGAGCCTGGAAGGTCACGGGGGGAGGGGAAGCCTGGACGAGGCTGCGGTCCCCGCCCGGGCACAGGGTGATGTGCGATTTGATCCCGTCACAGGTGAAGCCGCTCCTCCAAGTGACCCGCCAGGAGGAGGAGCTTCAGGCCAAGGACGAGGAGCTGCTGAAGGTGAAGGAGAAGCAGACGAAGGTGGAGGGCGAGCTGGAGGAGATGGAACGCAAGCACCAGCAGGTGGGCCCGGGTGCCGCTCACGGGGACCCACCTGCCAGCGGCCGCACCCGCCACAGTTGGGTTCACGTAAACCGCAGTCCGCCTCCCCTCACGCGGTTTTGCCTCGGCCCTTCTTGGACACGTAGGTGTCCCATTTGCCGCCAGGCACGTGTTCCTGACACCTGCTGCCCGTGGGACTCCCACCGTGTCCCCTGCCTGGGATGGCTCCCGAGGGCCCCGAAAGTAAAGACGAGACCACGCCGGGCCACCCGAGTCCTGCATCAGTGTCCTTCGCCGGTGGGGATGCTTCACAGACCAGGCAGGGGCTCGGGAAGCGTGTGTAGACGACCGGGTTCAGGGCCTGAGAGACTAAGGATGAAGGCCAGGGGTATCCCTTGATCCCAGACGGCCGTAGCTGGCCCCCTGAAGACACTCGAATAAGATTTTCCCTCCGCCTCTGTCAGTTACCTTAATGGAAGAACAGGAGCTCCTAAAGTCGGGTGAACTTAGTGTTGTTCAGGATGACCTGAGACGACAGAAACCAGCGGAAACGTTCTCTAGCTCACTTTGCCGTAAAGAATATTGGAAAGTTTTGCCAGCGACGTTACAGATATCTAAGCCTCCATTTCTACGGTGATGAGCACGGCCGCTGAAATCCGAGTGACCGTCTGCGGTGGGGGGAGGCGGGGGGCAGCGACCGCACTGACGCTCGGTTGTGGTTGCAGCTTCTGGAGGAGAAGAACATCCTGGCGGAGCAGCTGCAGGCGGAGACAGAGCTCTTTGCGGAAGCGGAAGAGATGAGGGCGAGGCTCGCCGCTAAGAAGCAGGAGCTGGAGGAGATCCTCCACGACCTGGAATCCAGGGTTGAAGAAGAAGAAGAAAGAAACCAAATCCTCCAGAACGAAAAGAAGAAGATGCAAGCACACATTCAGGTACGTAGGACGGTCTGTGTCCAGAACCGGGTTGGGTTTTCCGAGCGGCCCTGCCGAAGAAACAAATGGAAGCTGTGGGTTTGCGTTGTGTCCCCTGAGGGGCGACAGGAGTCCACGTTCCAGGTCCTGCCCTTCAAAGATGGCCGGCGATGGGAGCGCCCGGTGGCTCAGTCGGTTAAGTGTCCGACTCTTGGTCTCAGCTCAGGTTGTGATCTCACAGTTTGTGAGTTCGAGCCCTCCATCGGGCTCTGCACTGACAGTATGGAGCCTGCTTGGGATTCTCTCTCTGCTGCTCCCCTGCTCGCTCGCACGTAGCGCGTTCCCTCTCTCTCTCTCTCAAAATAAATAAACTTAAAAAAATTAAGACGTCCAGCACTAAAAGCACACACATAACAGACTGTCTTCGAGCGTCTTCCAGCGTGCAGAGTGATTCAGAGTAGGAGCATCGCAGGGCCTGAACACTTTGTAGGGAACCCCGTTTGTCCTTTGTGTTGTCACTAGTGATGGCACTGCTCGCTCCGTTCACTAGATAGGCCTGTGTTCGGGAGTTTGGTTCATAAGAAGGGCTCAGCTCCAACACAGGAGGCGGCCAGGAATCAGAATAAAACACTTAGTGCTTCCCAGGAGTTACCATGTTACGGAGACACAGGCTGTCCTCCCGCGTAGTGCAAATACACGGTTCAGACAGTGCTAACTCTGCCCACGGCCTAGGACACTCCCTTCTCTTTTTCTCCTTGTCTCCCACACCCAGCCTCCCGAATATGTTCTTGAGTGTCATGGTGTCTGTGTCTCAGCCACCATTGCTTCGTGGGTCCAGCACCAGACTTTTGTCCAGGTCTCTTCTTGAATTTTCTCTCCCCTGATAGCTTACCTTGGCAAAGCTCAGACAATTCAGACGATTCTCAAAACCGCAGAAGATCTCACGTTATTTTCTTGGCAAAGACCGCGTGCAGTAACTCATCTGGACACTTTCCATCCTTCAAGGCACTCGGCTTCCCGGTGCCTCCTGATAGGTTAGCAGAAGATCACGAGACCTGTAAAAAGTGCGCTCTCATTCAGCAAGTCCAGTTCTGGGACTTTATTCTAAGTGTAAATCGATGCAAGCCAGCTGGTTATGTACCAGTCAGGAGTGTTAGGCCACGGCAGTTCCGTGCAGTTACAGGTAAAAAGAGGTTTATTGTCACGGGGATCCCTAGTGCATTACTAAGGAATGTGTGCGGGAAGATCGACGTCAAAATACGTTTCTGCGACTTACGAGTTTATACGCGTGATTTGATGTGGGACCAGACAGAGACCTAGAGTTTCTGCCGACAATAGTGAGCTCTCCTTGGTGGTACTGTTACCCGTAGTTGGGACTTTGTTTTTAAGAGCATGTGCTCGTTTGAGAAATAACGTGTATTCGTGTGGGGGAAGGGTGCCCAGAGTCCCTCCCCCGCAGCGTCCCCAGGCCTGGTTTTGTACGCTCCAGCTGTTAACACCCTCGTGTGAAATGCCTGTGTTTCTTCAGCGTGTGCAGAAAAACAGATGTGTCCTGGGGGAGCAGAGTTAGTGCCGTATTTTCCTTGTTCTGGACTTCCTATCCTCCCCTTCCCTTCTAGATGCCTTTGGGGCTTCTCGGGTTTTGGCAGCCTTCTCTGAATTTATTATCTCATTTTGTGACGTGTAAGTTCATTCAAACACATTCTAAAAGTATTGACGGTAATAGGTTTTATTTTCTGTTTTTTGTATTTTTTTTCCCCCATTTTCCTCCATCTGAGGAAATCCTATCCAGAAGTCAGAATATCAGAGGTCCTGTGGTCCCCACATGGCCCCTGGGAAAACTCAACCTCGTCGGTCCCTCCTCTGTTCCTTTCCGACCTGTGAGCCTTTGAGGGACTTCTGATGTGTACCTTTTTCAACCAAACAACTGGAGCTGTTTGTGGTTTGATTTTAAGATAAATTTCCCAATTACGGTGTCAATAAACGCTTATTGTAGAAAACCTAGGGAACACCGCACCTCTGGTCTCCTCCCTCCCATCACCCCCATTACCGACATTTTTTCTGCTTGCCTGTATTTCTAAACCAGATATACAGATATAGTTGAAATTATACTGAACGTACTGCTCTGTTCACTGCTTTTGTGAATTTAGGACCGTGCGGTACAGGGATGCACCTGACCAAAACCAGACTGTGGAAAAGAAACCGTATGACAAATGACCTGTTCTGTTTCAAAAACAAATAAATGGCAAGGAAGGGAGGCAGAGATACACGGGAGCCTAGAGAACAAGGAGTCTCTAGAGGCTTTGGAGTCACAGTGTGTGAACCTTATTTGGATTCCAGTTCAAATAAACAAATGTACTTTTTTTTAAGTTTATTTATTTTGAGAGAGAGACAGGATCCCAAGCAGAGTCCATGCTGTCAGTGCAGAGTCCAGCGTGGGGCTGGAACCCACGAACTGCGAGATCGTGACCTGACCCGAGATCAAGAGTCAGACGCTTAACAGATTGAGCCACCCAGGCGCCCCAAAAATGTATTTTTAAGCAGTCTTTATCTTTTAGAGGTACAGCCTGAAGGTTTTACAGTAACACATGAGGTTTGGGATTTGCCGCAAAATAACCCAAGAGGCGAAGGGGGACCGCGGAGGTAGAGAGGAGAGGACACTGGCCGTGAGTCCGACGCTTGTCAAAGCTGGGCTGACGGGTGCGCCCTTCCGGCTCGTTCTGCCGCTGTGTTTGAAGTTTTCCACGAGACAATGACCGTCTCTTGCATGGGTTTCATTCCCGAGTCAACCACGATAGGTTTTGTAAACAGACCGTTCGTGGATGTGTCCGTAACGTACGTGTGTACCACGTATGGTGAGGCAGGGCAGGACACGGAAGTGTGTCTTACCTTAGAAAACTGCACACACCAGAATCCCACCCCACTTGGGGATGGGCTCACACGGTGAGGCAGGCTTGAGCCGAGACCACCCCTCTCTCAAATACGAATTTTAATTCCTATGTTATTCCCCTTCACAAATACACCCTCTACTCAGCAAGAGATTTTGTGGCACGTTCACCGTCCTTCGATACTATAAATGACCTTTTTACGTACGTCGCACCTGTGGCTATGTCCCGAAATTGCTGGTGTGAAAGGAATGCTGGTTTTCGGAGCTTGCTGTCCTCTGCCACATTGGCTTCCAGAAGGATAGACCCGGGCTGGGCTGCAGCCTGCAGTGGGTGCAAACGTCTGCTTCTCTTCCCTGTGCTTCACGTCTGTAAAAACTCCCCTGCCGTTCGGCGTTTCACCACACCTCAGCGTTTCACTTCCCTGCACCTTGGTGGAGGGGCGCGTGGTGGCGTCCTGTGGAGAGCGGGGGGCGGCTGACTGTGTGCTCTGCTTCCCAAGGACTTGGAGGAGCAGCTGGACGAGGAGGAAGGGGCTCGCCAGAAACTCCAGCTGGAGAAGGTGACGGCAGAGGCGAAGACCAAGAAGATGGAGGAGGAGATCCTGCTTCTCGAGGACCAAAACTCCAAATTTATCAAAGTAAGAGACTGCTTCTGAGCTGATTTTGGGGGTGCCTGGCTGGCCCTGTGGGTAGAGCCTGAGATCGTGAGTTCAAGCCCCATGTTGGGCGTGGAGCCTCCTTAAAAAGTGGATTTTTGAGGGGCGCCTGGGTGGCTCAGTCGGTTGAGCGTCTGGCTTCAGCTCAGGTCATGATCTCATGGTTAGTGGGTTCAAGCCCCATGTCGGGCTCTGTGCTGACAGCTCAGAGCCTGGAGCCTGCTTCGGATTCTGTGTCTCCCTCTTTCTCTGCACCTCCCCTGCTCGTGCTCTATCTCACTCTCTCTCTCAAAAATACATAAACATTAAAAAAAATTTTTTTAAGTGGATTTTAGAATGTGGGAAATCCGTATGTTGACAGACTCGCTGTAAGGGGCTTCCTTCAAGAAATTCTCAAGAGTTCAGGTTCATTTACTTACTTTTTCTAACACTCAACTTCTATAGATTTGTAAAGGTAGAAAGTCTTTAGTTTTTTAGATCTTGGGACCAAATAGCCTCCTGATCCTTCAGATGTGTAACATGCACGTTCTGTGTGCATCGGTCCCTCCTTGATGACCAGGTCCTGCCCGCGCACTCACAGCTGCACTCCACGTGGGCTGCGGGACTCGGGGGGGGGGGGCGCACAGGGGGGGCCTACACGAGTGAACCTCCCACCTCTCGGGAGCGATCGGAGCCACGGGGGGACGTGGTGCCACAAGCCCGTTTCCTGAGTGACACCACACCCCACGCGTGGTTGTGCGTGCCTTTGCTGAAGCGGTGACTTTCTACTCAGGAAAAGAAACTCTTGGAGGATCGCATCGCGGAGTGCTCCTCTCAGCTGGCTGAAGAGGAAGAAAAGGCCAAAAATTTGGCCAAAATCAGAAATAAGCAAGAAGTGATGATCTCAGATTTAGAAGGTTAGTATTTGGCGTCAGAGAAACGTGGGACTGGGCTTGTGAGTGTTTAGATTTTACTTAAATCAGAACATGTGGTAATGGAAAATGGGCGTGCCGATTACTAATCAGTTTGGATTCAATTACATGGGCGCATTTTGAGTTATTATCTGCTGCCTAGTCTCCAAGTATTTATGATGGGGTAGCGCTAACGTAAACTTTGATTTTATGAAGTTAGATCCCACGGTGAAACGCCTTGCCCCCTTAATGGACGCAGCGGGGCTCTAAGTTTGAGTCGTAGAAGCCAGTGGACTTTGTGTTTAATCTGACAGCTGCGTGAGGGTGTATAGGGTTCACTTCACAAAGAGACTGATGGCTACTGCCACGGAAAGTGTTGGGGACAGAGAACCCGCTGAGGGGAATCGCATCGCACGGAGACGGCAGAAGCTGTGTTGGGAAATCCCAGGGTGTCTACAGAGCGGACCCTGGCTTTCTACACAAGAACCCGGGAAAGAGGGTGGAAGCTGGGGAGGCATCCACGCATCTGCCGTGTCAGCGGCTCGACCCTGCGTCTGTATCAGAGCAGCGCACGGCGCTCAACGCCCGGCTGTCACGTGTCCCTACAGCACCTGCGTGGCCGTGACCGTGCTCTCCCAGCGCACTGCTTTCGCAGTAGGGAGAAAACGGGAGGGTTTTTCAAAACCTATCTCAGGTTTTGTCGTCTCGCTGTTGCTTAGCACAGACGAGAGGATGGCAGCGGGAGAGATTTTCATAAGCCATTTTTGCCAGCGCGTGGCTCTTCCGCTCAGGGGAGCACAGAGCACACGTGCCTGCTCTGTCTCGGCCGTGTGATCAGCCCGTGATGCCCAGTCTCCGCCTTCCCACACACTGGCTCTGCTGGAGGACAGTCCTGGGAAGGGAGGGAGCGCCGGCGTAGTTGAAGAATCATCGCGGGACTGTGACACCTGCCCCCACTCTGTCCTCTGCCTCCGTGCCCAGGACCTGCAGTCCTGGGTCCTGCCAGGAACTCCCAGGGAAGGGGGATGGGGCTCCGGGCACACCGCCCTCGCCTCTGCCGAGCCCCTCTGCAAACCTGGGCCCAGCGATGGCTGTGGGCTCCCTTCCCACGAAGTGACAGAATCCACCCAGTTTCTTCCTGAAAATACCATCCTCCCACCGACCGCTCTCGCCTGCGGCTTGATCTCTGTGGGTTTCTGACGACTGAGCTGTAGACACGGTGGGGTCAAGGCGGTGGCCGCTTTTCAGTGAAATGGCGTATTTTCAGCTCGGGTCGGTTTCTCTCTCGAATTCGTTCATGTGGCCTGTCGCTTGTCGGTTAAATAGCTTCTTGGCCCTTGCCTTTCAGAACGCTTAAAGAAGGAAGAAAAGACCCGTCAGGAGCTGGAAAAGGCCAAGAGAAAACTCGACGGAGAGACCACCGACCTGCAGGACCAGATCGCGGAGCTGCAGGCGCAGATCGACGAGCTCAAGGTCCAGCTGGCCAAGAAGGAGGAGGAGCTGCAGGGCGCGCTGGCCAGGTCCGCCCCCCGCACGGGGCCGTTACCGCGGGCTGTGCGCTCGGCAGAGCGTCCGGGGCTGGGCGCCGACGAAAACCCCGAGACGGGGACACGTGGTCTCCTTGCGGGTGTGGCACAGGAGGCTGAAAGAGCCGGGAGTCCACGGCTTGTGTCAGGGCAGCAGGAAGCACTCGTGAACCACCGTCGGTGTCCACGCCTAGGGATCGCTGGTCACCGAGGTCCCTGGAAACTCCCCCCAGAAGTCCCGTTACCACACCCAGCGTCTGGTCTCCGTGTGTTAGAGAGTAATTCCACAGCGTGTTTTAGAAGTTGAGGGGAAACCCCTTTTCAGAAATGATCCCCTGCCAGGGGCGCCCGGGCCGCTCAGTCGGTTGAGCATCCGACTCTTGACTGCGGCTCAGGTCATGATCTCACGGTTCGTGAGTTCAAGCCCCACATCGGGCTCTGTGCTGACAGCGTGGACCCTGCTTGGGGTTCTCTGTCTCTTCCCCTCCTCTCTCACCCTCTCTCTCAGTAAATAAACATTAAGAAAAAAATGAATCCCCCTCGCTCATGGCATGATTTCCTATTGAGTTTTAAATCATTTTAGAATGGAAATCATGCCTAGTAAGTATATTTATATCTAATATTTCTTTCTAAAGAAGAATTACTTGGTTACACGGTCATAGAACTTAAACTTTACCATTTATCATAAGCGAGTAAATCTCGTAACAGACCTCTTTTTCTGCCCTCTATCACAGCTGGTCTCATTTTGGCCAGATGTTCTGCTTTTCCTCTTAGAGGCGAGAGCTGGAATTCTGGATTCCTGTCTCTCTCCCCGAGTATCCCAGCTTCTCCAGTCAGAAACTCTGCCAGCACTGAGCTAACATGCACAGCAGGTGTGAAGGCAGCAGGCCTCCCGCTGACTTGCAAGAACTTCTTCGGATTTGCTGCTTCACTGTAGGCTGGACTGGACTGCCGCCCTGAGCAGTGTGCTCTTAACATTTTACTCTGGAGCGATTTTTTTTATATTCTGATCATTAAAATGAGCTTGTCTGTCCTTTCAATGGAAAACCGCAGCTCTCTGGAAAGGGGGCAGGGTTCCATTCCGGTTCTGATGCTGCCGGTTCTGGTCCTGGCTCTGGGGCCTTCAGGTCATCGACCCCCGTGCCTCCTCCCCCTGCCCAGCAGGCCCAGCCCCGGCCACGGGCAGAGGGACGTGTGACTGGGGTCCGCTCGCAGAGGGGCACGGCGGGGGTGGGTTCCCCCCGGGGCGCTGGCGGCCGCCAGCTGAGCCCTTCTCGTGCCGGGCGGTTTCGCAGGGGCGACGACGAGACGCTCCACAAGAACAACGCGCTCAAGGTGGTGCGCGAGCTGCAAGCCCAGATCGCCGAGCTGCAGGAGGACTTCGAATCGGAGAAGGCTTCGCGGAACAAGGCGGAGAAGCAGAAGCGGGACTTGAGTGAAGAGCTGGAGGCCTTGAAAACGGAGCTGGAGGACACCCTGGACACCACCGCGGCTCAGCAGGAACTTCGGTGAGTGGCGCACAGGCGGGCACCCCCTGGCGTCTGGCAGAAATGCCTCAGGCGCGGTGGCCTCCTTGGGGACACGGGGCTTTTCCTTTCGTTGTTGTTCTGAGTATTTCTTTCCCTCCGGGAAGTAATGGCCAAGGAACAGGGACGGGCAATAATGGCCAAGGAACAGGGACGAGATAGCTGTGGTTAGAAACAAACCCGTGTCTGGTGGGGGAGGGGCGGCTGGCGGGGAAGGACCAGCAGACTGAGGTGTGCGGGCTGGGATGGGATTGGGAAAAGCCACACTCCGTGACGGACGTCTCCAGGGGCAGGTGCACAGAGCTGGGCGGAGGCTTGTACCAGACCCGGAAGCCTGGAGGGGCAGGTGGGTCAGACAGGATGGGCGGGGCTGTGGGCGTGGTCAGCAGAGAAGGGAGGTTCACGTTTACCAAACGGAAAAGAAGGCAGGGCAGAGGCACGTGCCGTGTGACAGGCAAGGCCACAGCCAAGCGCAGGCGGGAAGAGTCGGGCGTGTGGAAGCCTCGGTGTGCCGCCCCCAGAGGGTCGCAGAGAGCTGGAGCAGCGGGTGGGAGGCGGCCCAGTGGAGGGGCTGACTGGGGCTCCTGCCGGCACTCGGTCGTGTCTTCACGTCAGCGGCTGGGTTGTGGCCTCCCAGACTGCTGCCCTGGCCTCTTCCCGCCCGTCTGTTTGCTCCTCGAGACTCCAGCTTCCCCGGGCGTGAGGGGCTGGTAGACGCGGCCGGCCGCGTGCAAACAGAGGCATGCACACATGCACCCACGTGCGCGCACACGCCCCTCTGCTTGCTTCTCCGGGGTGTCCTCGCTCTGACATGGCAGCTGAGCTAAGGCCTGGAATGAAACACGAAGGGCAGGAGGGGAGTCACCTGTGAAGATAGGTGTGGTCAGGGAGGTAGGGAAGGACCAGCGTGTGTTCACCCGGCGGGGTGGGGGGGTGTCACCGGGTCTGCAGAGAAGGCCGCTCTGAGGGTGAGGTGGCTGTCAGATAGTGGGTGTCGGCGAGGGAGTGGTCGGTGATGGAGGAGCCTCGCGATGTGTCTGGGGCTTTGCCCATGAACACGTAAGACCACGGCAGGGACGACAGGTCACGTCCCCAGAGAGAGCCGAAGCCCACGTGAGCCAGGCCGGCCCAGGCCTCCTCCCCCTCTTCAGAACAGCCCTGCTGTCAGCCAGGTTAAGTCCCGGCCTTCCCAGTAGAAGGTCTGCTTTTAAAAATCTGGCAACGGGGGTGCCTGGGTGGCTCCGCCAGTTAAGCGTCCAACTTTGGCTAAAGTCATGGTTTCACGGTCCGGAGTTCAAGCCCCAAGTCAGGCTCTGTGCTGTCACAAAAGCTCAGAGCCTGGAGCCTGCTTCTGATTCTGTGTCTCCCTCTCTCTGCCCCTTCCCCGCTTGCACGGTCTCTCTCTCAAAAACCAGCGTCAAAGAAATTTCTCTTTTTTAATCTGGAAACCACTGAACTAGACCTTATTGAATTGTCAATTCTCAATTCTCAGCTGGTTTTTTGACCACGATAGAAAAAAAGGCTCCGGTCCTTTTTTCCCACTCCCCTCTTGAAAATAAACCAGTCGATACATGCGCACATTTATTAAAACCAGGGACAGGCTCAAGCGTAGCGCTCGTGGGTGCCGTTTTGTGAAGACTTCCGGTTGCCCGCAGCTCCGGGGTCTTGGTGCTGGCGTGAGCCGCTCTGGCCAAGGACCCCGCTGCCTCCCCACCGGCTCCTCCCCGTGCATGTTTCCCCGGGTCTGTGTGAAAGTAACCAAACTTGGCACAAACTCTCTGGAGGACTTCCCGTGAAAGACGAAAAACAGTTGGGTGGCTCAGCCTGGAGGCGGGGCCGTGCAAGACTCCTGGTTTCATGTAGGAATTCGTACCTGGAGGACCGTGCCCCGCTAGCGGGAGAAATGACGTTGCCGTGTGACGGCCGACAGCACGGATCATTCACGAGGCCAAAGTGGCCGGATGCGGCGTCCGGCCTGGCCGGGCTGACGCTTACGTCCGGCGACCTCCCCCCTCTACCAAGTCCTTCCCCTCGAGGAGATGCAGGGACAGGCCCCCACACCCCGGGTCGAGCCCAGTGAGACCACAGAGAATCTTCTGATCCCTTCTGTCCAGCTGCCTGTGAGCACCAGTCAAGGGAGGAGAACGTGCCCCGAGTCAGCACCCGAGTCCCCGTCCTAACTGCTGATGCGCTCGAACCTCGGCACGAGTTGGCCAGAGTTCTTCAGGCCGGTCGTAAAGCCCCAGCCACTCTGACCCCTGATGTCTGCAGCTTGCGCGGGGGTGGGATTTGCCGTGCTGGTTTCGGGCTTCATCAAGCTCTACGCTTCTGGTAAAGATGGCGCTGGGACGGACGGATCTGTGAATTCTTCCTCCCGTTAGCGAGGTCACCACCCTACGTTACAGCAAATGACAAAAACGCTGGAAAACCACGTAAAGATATTTAATATTAACATCATCTTCGTTCCCTAAATGCAGGTTAGAGCAGACCTCGATTTATCTCAGGATCCTAACTACAGCTATGTCACAGGGACGGGGAGAGTCCTGCCTCCGTCGGGACGCGCCGTCCTGTGACGCGGCCTCCCCCACCCTTAGCTCTGGAGAGCCACTTGGGGACCCACCTTTTCCAGCTGCAGTGAGACGTCCGCTGGGGTTGTGGCAGGCAGCTGGCCATCTGGCCTTAACCAGCTCCTGCCCCCCACCACCGTCTGGTGACCGTGAGGACGAGCACTGTGTCTGACCGTACGTCAGATGGAGGAGTTGAGGGGAGCTGAACTCTCTCTGGAGGGATCCCCAGGGTCACAGCGGACACACGGCTTTCCAGGACCTACCAGACCAGATAGTTATCAAAGGAACTGAGGGGATATCTTTTGCGTGACGATGGCGACACCCCAAATATAGTGAGGGCCGTTCTAGGCCAGGGCCAGTGCCCAGTACTTCCCTCGTGTGACCCTCACAGCCTCGTGAGGCCAGGGTTCGGTCGTGACCCTCGTGCTGGGGGTGCAGAAGCCGAGGTTGAGGGTTAACGTCGTGCGGGGTGGCGGAGTTGGGAAGCATCACACCGTGTCCATCGCCTCAGGGGGAAACTGATGTCCTGCGTGAAACAAAACCACAGCTTCACTGTGTGCTTGATCGTGTTCTAAGTCGGTCTGTCGGTTAATTCTGAGCCGCTTTCTCTACGATGTGTCCGTCTAGCACCAAACGTGAACAAGAGGTGGCAGAGTTGAAGAAGGCTCTGGAGGAAGAGACCAGGAACCACGAAGCCCAAATCCAGGACATGCGACAGAGACACGCCACAGCCCTAGAGGAACTCTCGGAGCAGCTGGAACAGGCCAAGAGGGTGAGAGGGGCAGGCGCGTGGGCCCGTGTCCTGCAGGAGATCGGCCATCGGGCGCACATCCGTCCAGTCGGTGCTGAGCCCGGCCTCGGCACGGCCGTGGGGGCTGACACGGCCGGCAGCTCGCAGGGCACTGTGTACCCGAGGGGTCACGGGCCCTTAACTTTTTGTTGTTTTTTTTCAATAATCGGGGGTACTTGGCGGCCGTCTCCAATCCCGTTCCTCCCGGGGCCGCCCTCCACCAGCGCCCCCCCTCCCAATGGCCACGCTCAAAACCCTTGAGCGCTCTGTGCCTGTCCCCATCTGCGGCCCCGCGGCCATTTCACGTGTCCCTCGTGCTCTCCTCCTTCCTCCCGCCTCTGGCAGTCTGAAGCCACCACACGCGGTGTCGCCCTCCTCTCGCCGCCATCCCCGTCCCGAGTCTCACACAGGCTTCCGTCCTGACGACACAGCAGCTCGTCCCCCCGCTGACCCCCGGGGCAGACGGGCGTCCTTCCCCATTCCTCCCCGTCACCCTTCCTTCGTGCCTTCTGCTCCTGCTCCGGGGCCCCCTTCTGTCCTCCCGTGGGTCCACACGTGCGCTCTCGGTATTAACGTTGACTGGACGTGCACATTTGCATGTGTCTGTCACCATGCTCAGTACACCGCGTGCGTTGCCTTTAACCGTCACCACAACCTTGTGCGGTAGACTCTCGACTGTCATTTCCGTTCAGAGGATGAGGAAACTGAGGCCGGCAGGGTCAGGAAACTAATCGAGGGTCACACAGCCAGAACGTGGAACGGCAGAGTGAAGCCGGGCACTCAGGCCCCAGAGCCCCCACGCGACCCCCAGCTGCACCACCTCAAAAGCCCATCCCCAGGTCCAGGCCCCCCACGAGGCGATCCCTGCAGCCGTGCGACCTGTTGTGGTCACCCCTGCGCTGACACCCCTGTGTTAGTCTTACCCCAGCAACAGGGGTCTCAGCTCCTCACTAAGAATAATTTTCTCAACGGAACACGTTTTCTAGAAAGGATAACCCGAGTGGATGATTACATGATAGGATGTACCCCGAGTCGCCCCCACGCTGACCAGGATGAATTCCGTGGTGTACTGAGCCCCCACACATCTGGCTCTCCTACCCTGGGCAGGGAGTACAGGGCGTTTCCTCCATAGAGATCTCCGTGCTCAGGGGAGAGCGGAGGTTTTCATTCGCTCACTCCGATGCTGAGTGCAGCCCGGGTATCGGGCACCATCCCGCTGATACAAAAAGCAGCGCCTTGTATGGAGTGTTCTAAAAATACTGGCAAATTTCTCTTCCCTCCTCTCCTAGTTCAAGGCAAATCTGGAAAAGAACAAGCAGGGCCTGGAGACTGACAACAAAGAGCTGGCGTGTGAGGTCAAGGTGCTGCAGCAGGTCAAGGCCGAGTCTGAGCACAAGAGGAAGAAACTGGACGCGCAGGTGCAGGAGCTCCACGCCAAGGTCTCGGAAGGAGACAGACTCCGGGTGGAGCTGGCTGAGAAAGCAAACAAGTTACAGGTGAGCCCGGAAAACCCAACTCGGGACGCACCCGCGGTGGCCTGTCCGCGACCATCGAGCCCCTTGGGGACCGCTGCAGTCAGGGGTGCGTGGTGTGTTTAAGTTCAGTCCTACTAGGTATCTCAGGGACGGACAGCACGAATTGGCCTTAATTGTAGTAAATCCCACACTGAACAGTGGGTATAGCTTTGGGCTTTAAACACAACTTCAGCTGCTCCATTAGACCAGTCAGTAAGACAACTGGGGCAGTGGGCGCAGAAACGGGTGCCTAGTGTTGGTGCTAACTTGCAAAAACTGGATTTTTTATACACTGCTGGTCCAAGTATAAATAGAGACAACGTTTTCTAAAGAACAGGTCAGCAGTTTTGGTGTCACAGGCCTTAAAAATATGAATACCTTGGGGCGCCTGGCTGGCTCAGTGGGTAGAGTGTGTGTCTCCTGATGTCAGGGTTGTGAGTTCAAGCCCCACACTGGGTGTAGAGATTACTTAAAAGTAAAATCTTGGGAGTGCCTGGCTGGCTCAGTCAGGCGTCCGGCTGTTGGTTTCGGCTCAGGTCGTGATCTCATGGTTTGTGAGTTTGAGCCCCTCTTTAGGCTCTACGCTGATGGTGCAGAGCCTCTCCCTCCCTCCCTCTCTGCCCCTCCCCCACTTGTTCTCTCTCTCCCTCTCCCCCACCCCCACGCGCGCTCTCAAATATTTACAAAATTTAAATCCTGAAAAAGAAAAGACAGTTCGTATACATACGAAAGACAAAAACACGTGTACGTATAGGATACCCTACAGTCCAATAGAGTGATGTCTAGTAACGAAACCCAGGGAGATAAGGGTCACACACAGACTCTGCTTCTGAGAATGCTCGTTGCAGGAATATGTATGTACAAAAGAGCGTAATTGGAATAACTTTCATGTCCAAGTGTGGACTCCTACGCCACCAATAAAAACGAGACGATAGATGAATGTCTGTGGGTGAGAAAAGACGCACGTTCCGTGGTGCTGCACTAGAAACGGCTTCCAGAGCCGACTCCGCACGGGGGCCTGCCCACGGCCATATTTATCACAGTGAAAGGATACAGAGCGAATCGGTAAAGGGAAAAGGCGGGAGGCCCTGAGGAAACCAGGTGCGATCTCCCAGCAGGCCCCCTTGGGGGCAGGGAGCTGGGCCGGCACGTGGGCCGTCCTTTCCACGCGGAAGCTCGCGGAGCCTTGGGGCCCAGCGGTTTGGTTGGGGGCTGGTCCCGACGGCCCCACTGCCTGACTCCCAGAAGGAAGGCACGCGTTCGGCATACAGCACGGTGTTTACACAAGCCGCTTTGTGCAAACGGCACGGGGAGCCGTTCTATTTTAGGGAATGGTAGGCGCTCTCGCGAAATCCAGCCGAGGGCCAGGCCGGCGTTGCCAACAGGCCTTTTTCTAAGGGGAGCCATCTCGGGCCTCCCCTGTTAACTCTTGCCTGTCCGGGGAGGTGTTCTCCAGAGAGAGGCCGTTACACGGTGTTACTAACGTCATCGTACGTTACCGTCCGGGTGGCAAGGAGGCGAGGCAAGTGACCCTCGTGGGCGCCTGTGGACGCTCTCTCCTTCCGTCCTTACGTCACCCCCTGGGCGCGTCGGGCTGATGAGGAACGTGAAGCTAAAGTGAGAAGCTGGCGGCCCTCTGGCCGCTCCCCTGCAGGTGGCGGAGCCCGAGCTGAAGGCTGGAGGTCTGTCTCTGGTGAGTCCAGAGCCTTCCGCCACCACACTGTCGCCAAGACTGTTGGCGCGTGCCCTCTCCAGAGGATGTTGCTAAAACGAGTAAAAACAGGAATGTCGTTGGCCTGCCTTACGTGTATGGAGACGCCCTCTGCACGCCTTCCCTTCGCTAATGCGACCGAGGGTCAAACCGGAGTGAAGGGCCACCTGTCGTCCCTACCCTTCTCCCCACTACCTGCTCCGCTCACCAAGAATTACAAAAGGTCTCCTACTGTGGGGATTTGGTGGGGGAGGAGCAGGTTAGAGCCGTCACGAAGGAGGCAAAGGCAACAATGTTTTTACCACATCGTTCATGAAATCTGGCCTTAAGACTATAGCTAAATACTCCTGATAAATCTGTACCACCAGATTTTTAAGCTTAGAAAGAACTTTAGATGGGGTACGAGAATTTACACTCCTCTAAATCCCTGTAACTCTAGAAGACTAGGAATTTACTTGCACCCCTAACACAGGGTTAATGCATCTCAGTGTGAAAAAGGATTAAGTAACAGTGCCTGCTGATCTGGGAGCCTCTTCACATAGCAGAGGAGCCAGAGAGAGAATTTAGTGCAATCTTTGTTTCTTCATGATAAAAAACAAGACGGTGAGCAGGAATGCGGAGAACCGCGCTCCGTGCATGGGCTCCCTGTCCTTCCAGCAGGGACTCTGACGTGGTCTGCGGTGGCTGGCACGGTGCCTGCCTCTGTGGGCACTGTTGGGAGGCAACGCCTGTGATGGAAGTCCTCCTTGGGTTTGGGGGTTTCAGGATCCCTCCTCCTCCCCCGGAAACACTGCTGTATTTGTGTGCGTTGAAGAGTGGTGAGGCCGGACCTTTCTGTCTGCTTCCTCTCGCATCACACTGAATCTTGTATTCCTTCCTCCTTGCAGAATGAATTGGATAATGTCTCCACGCTTCTGGAAGAAGCCGAGAAGAAGGGTATTAAATTTGCCAAGGACGCAGCCAGTCTGGAATCTCAACTACAGGACACACAGGTATTCTGGGGGGTGAAGGCCCTTGGTCACAGCTCCGCCGGTTCTGTAATCTACAAGTCTGTGGAACAGGCCAGCCCCACAATTGCTTTCTTACCATCTCTGATTTTGTGCTCAACTTTTATTTGGAACCATCTTGCATCCTAACGGGCCTTGACGCTCCGGAAGTCTCTGAGGCTCAGTTATATGGACGCAGAGCCCTCAGCGTCTGGCAGGCTTGTGGGCACCAGCGGGCACCGCCTGGAACATGGTTCACTGAGCAGCGGTCCTACTGCGCACACAAGTATAGCCGGCTGTTTTCAATAAGATTGTTTTTTTGTGGTTGAAATTATGTTACACTGACCTACTAGTCCATTTCGTAAAAAGGTAGGTTGAGGCCTTCTTATCGAAACGTGTTAGGGATGTCTTCACGTCAGACAGAAGTTAGGATGACAACTTTGATATGAAAATAACACAGCACTTTCTTCTTGGAGTTTTACGTCTTCTTTTTATTAAACGTGCTAACTTTATAACAACGTTGATTCGCTAGGTGCTGGGGATACAGGGGTGACATCTCTTGGAGCTTACACTATGACAGGGCACATCCTGGTCAGCGAGACTATGGGAGACCAGGGGCGGGTCACGGGAATCAGTCTGGCAGGAAGTTTGTAAAGGACAGACAGCTGGCGGGTTGCCCGACACTGGAGGTCAGCGTCATGAGAAATGCCAAGTGCCTCAGCTAAGGGGCAGAGGGGTGGGGAGAAAGGTCTGCCAGAAGTATGGAGATGCTGGAGACCGAGGCGTCTCGGGCCACTCAGCTCCTGGCCCGGGTGCCTACGGTGAACGACACTGCTGTTCCTCGAGGACAAGTTGAAAGCCGTGTTTTGGGGGCGCCTGGGTGGTTCAGGTAAGTGCCTGACTCTTGATCTTGGCTCAGGTCGTGATCTTGCAGTTCATGAATTTGAGCCCCACGTAGGCGCCTGCCTGGGATTCTCTCTCCCTCTGCCCACCCCCCGCCCCGGTCGCTCACTGTCTCTCTCAAAACAAACAAACCTCTAAAACAAGATTTTTAAAAAGCAGTGTTTCTGTTAAGATCATCTATAAAATTATCAGGCGTGTTTTTAAATCGTTTGTTTCTTAAGATCACGGGGTAGTTGTGACCCACTGAGGCGCTGTGTTTTTTGCGCCGTGACTTTGTTTTTAAGAAAGGTGTTTCTGTTCGGTGATCAGTGTAACTCCGGTATCGACCTCTTGTGAAATAAACAGGAGCTTCTTCAGGAGGAGACGCGCCAAAAGCTGAACCTGAGCAGTCGCATCCGGCAGCTGGAGGAGGAGAAGAACGGCCTCCAGGAGCAGCAGGAGGAGGAAGAGGAGGCCAGGAAGAACCTGGAGAAACAAGTGCTGGCCCTGCAGTCTCAGGTGCGCGTGTGCCCGCGGATGCCGCGGGGGCCTGGAGGTGTGCGCTCAGAGACTAACGTCCTCTCCGCTTGGGACGGTTAACTAGGCTGTACGAAACTAAGCCCCGTAAGCGTGTTCTCTGACCCAGCCAAGTGCCGGTACTCTGGTGAGGGTGTGGGAAGCCTCAACAGTGACCTCGGACTGGGTCCGCTGTGCAAGGACGCAGACCAGCCATCCTCTTAACGATGATGAGCTAAGACACCGTTACAGTCTGAGCCTCATTGGCTCGCAGTCACGTATTGATTTATACATCTTTTCTCCAAATATGGAAAACGAGCTTTCTCTGTTCCTCACCTGTAAAAGTCACTGGGGTTGTTTAACGTGGGTCTCTCTTCCCGTACAACCAGCTGACAGATACCAAGAAGAAAGTAGACGATGACTTAGGAACAATTGAAAGTTTGGAAGAAGCCAGAAAGAAGCTCCTGAAGGACGCGGAGGCGCTGGGCCAGCGCCTGGAGGAGAAGGCTTCGGCCTACGACAAGCTGGAGAAGACCAAAAACCGCCTGCAGCAGGAGCTCGACGACCTGACGGTGGACCTGGACCAACAGCGCCAGATCGCCTCCAACTTGGAGAAGAAGCAGAAGAAGTTTGACCAGGTGGGCCCTGCGTCCCTGCGTCCCAGGGCCAGTGCCACACGCTGCCGCTTCCTGGCAGACGCTCTTGTTGTCGTGGTTTAAAATAATCTTGGTGTTTATACGTATTTGTAGAAAATTGGAAAGGGAGAAAAGCAGAAAGAAATAGCACCCATGAACCACAGTAGGGGCTCAGCAGGAAGTCAGACACACAGTGAATGAGAAGCGTGTTTGTCGCTTTCGCGTTGTTTCTAACGTGTCCCGACGCCGTTCCGTGCAGCTGTTAGCGGAAGAGAAGAACGTCTCCGCTCGCTATGCAGAGGAGCGAGACCGCGCGGAGGCAGAGGCCAGGGAGAAGGAAACCAAAGCCCTGTCCCTGGCGCGGGCCCTCGAGGAGGCCCTGGAGGCCAAGGAGGAGTACGAGAGGCACAACAAGCAGCTTCGAGCGGACTTGGAAGACCTGATGAGCTCCAAGGACGACGTGGGGAAGAACGTGAGTATCCCAGGGACCCGGCCCCCCCGCGGGGGAGGATCTGGGAAGGCGTCTCCCGACAGCGCAGGAGCGCGGCGGCGTCCTGGCCTGTGCACGGATGGGGACTCAGGTCTCCCGGGACAAGCTGTCGGACCCTGCGGTCTGTGCTCGGTTCTTGGTGCCTGAGCCACAAGTTCTCGTAGAGGCCCTGACCGATGGTGACGCTTGGTTTATTCCTGTCACCTTCACGCCCCGCCCCCCCCCCCCGCCCTACGTCCTGGCAGGAATGTCACCGTTCCCGAGTCACAGGGAGTTCCCAAGCACAGGTACCACGAGGTCCGCCCGGGCCAAGGACAGCGGCCCCTGTCCTTCCTGGCCCGGGCCTTCCCAGCTGAGACTCTTGGTTTTCCCTGAAGGCTTCAAGTGCTTTGGGGGCTCGTTGACAGTCTGGAAGTTTCTGTGATGCTGTCCTTTACTGCATACACGCTCTACAAGAGCCGGGGTGATGTTTATTTGTCCCACACCCCTCAGGTGTATGAGGTGTGGAGGATTGTGTGGCCGGGCTGGGGCCGGAAGCAGTCTGTTCTCCCCAGGAGGAGCCACTTAACCTCCTGATCTGTATCATCTGCCAGACAATGTTGCACGTGCCCTGTCTCAGGAAGCTGCGACATAGGGGCTCTCTGGCCACATCATAAAGGAGGGAAGACTCTCCTCCCTTCCTGTTGGGTCTCCTACAGCCCGGTGCCCGGAGGGTCAGCCCCATGGACAAGAGGCTGCCTAGACTAGAAGTGGCCATGATGGCATAGTCGTACATAGACAACTCCACAATGACTTTGTTTTTTTCTTTTCTTTTTTTTTTTTAATTAAGTAACCTCCTATGCCCAATGTGGGGCTCAAACTCACAACTCCACAATCAAGAGGTTCACGCTCCACCGACTAAGCCAGCCAGGCACCCAGCTTTCTCGTTCCTTCTAGTTTTCACTAGAATAATGGACATGTTCATTCCACAGACCTCACTTTGGTGCCTAAGCAGCAGCAGGGGCTGCGGGGCCTCCCCTGCCACGTCTCCTGCTGCCCCTGGGAGAGGCGGCATGGCCGCCTGAGAGGTGTCTCGGGGAC